CCTGGGGGGATGGGGGCGAGGATTTTCTTGGCCGTTCTATAACTGAAAACTGGTTTACGGACCAATGTTGAAGTTGCAAGATCATAGAAGAATATTACGCACGCTTGGCAGTGATCTCACAGGTGGAAAAAAGACCATCGGTAAAACTCAGGACATCGAAAGGGATTAGTATTCTATATGGTATCACAGCGCTACTATTCTTGGCTTATGTGTGAGGAGGATTCTGCTGTTTATTCGTTTCAATTTAAAATAAAAATGTTTACTTTACAGACCGCTTTTGCTTTTAAACGCTCTTTTTGTATTGGCCAACGTAAATGATCTTATTAGGCGCTGCGAAGCAAGCGGGCATTAGCTAGTCTTCGATAAATCAGTAAATGCTGTAGCTAATTTATTCAAAATTGATGTTTGCAGTACATATTTAGCAAAAAATAGTTTATTATAAAATTTTGGAAAATGGGCGTGGCACCGCCCACTTATGATCACATATGTGAATCTCGGTAACCTTTCGATCAAAACAGGTAAAATTATTGTGCTTGCCACATAAAGGCAAACCATTGAAAATTATTGAAATCGGACTAAACACTAAGGCGTAATCTGCCTAGTTCCGGCAAAAAAAGCTATTACAAAACCTGGACCTGTAGCGCACTCTTGTTGGCTAACCAAGGCCGGTAGAATTTTGTCGATTGTACGTTGCAACAAGTTCACCACCTTGTAACTTAAGAACTCTAGAAGATTACCTTATAAGAGTTTATGTTCCCATGTACTTTAACATTAAATACTACCATTCTGTTATATACGGCAGGCCGCTTCTATTCAAATTTATCAGCCTCACGCCAGAGAACGTATACCAGAAAAAGTATGTGAATTAAAAGGCGCATTTTTAGTGCGACCTAATTGCCGCCAGAAATTTTGAGTTGCGGTCGAGCAAATACACTACTCGCCGACGAAATGCACCACGACGAAATGTCCAAAAATCGATTAGTAACAACTAAGAAAGTCTAAGTTCGGGCGGAGCCGAACATTAGATACCCGGCGCAAGTATTAAATATATGTTTTCCACATTTCCGAAAGCTACAGCTACATGGTAAGCCGGGGTGTATACATTTTGAGTAAATTAGCGTCCTTAAATTTCGAAATATTGAAGTTTCTGAAATTTACCGTTATATGAAAAGCGGCCGTAATTTTAATCCGATTTCAACAATTTTCAACGCTTTGTTTTTATGTGGCAATCACAATAAAAATAGCGAGTTTAGTACAAATTGGTAGAACGGTTACCGATATACACATATGTGATCATAAGTGGGCGGTGCCACGCCCATTTTCCAAAATTTTATCATAAACGTATTTATTGGTAAAGAATTGCCGCAAGCATCAATTTTGAATAAGTTAGCTTTAATATTTACTGATTTATCGAAGATTTCGTATTTCTCTAAATTACCTTTACATAGGATGTGGGCGTGGTTATAGTCCGATTTTAAAAATTTTTGGCCATTTGGTATGCTGTACCAAGGCCAACAACTGTGCAATTTGGAAGAAATCGGTGTAGCGGTTACCAAGATATACACATGTCACCATAAGTGGGCGTGGCTACGCCCATTTTCCAAAAATTTATAGTGTTCTTAGTTTTCGTCTAAAAATTATTATAAATATTACTTTTGANAAGGCCAACAACTGTGCCAAGTTTGGAAGAAATTGGTGCAGCGGTTACCAAGATATACACATGTCACCATAAGTGGGCGTGGCTACGCCCATTTTCCAAAAATTTATAGTGTTCTTAGTTTTCGTCTAAAAATTATTATAAATATTACTTTTGAGTGAATTATCTTCAGTAGTTACTAAAATATCGCAGTTTTCGTATTTCTGAAAATTACCGTTATATGGGAGGTAGGCGTGGTTATTGTCCGATTTTGCCCATTTTCAATACCGTCCGTCATACACCGAAAAGAAGTATACATACCAAGTTTCGTTAAAAGTGTGTTTGCATTGTTCAACTTTGCGTTCAACATTTGCGTTCAACTCAGCGCAGGGTTGCACGAAAAAAGTTGAATAGCTAAAAATATCAAAATATGAAAAATTATCAAAATATTCGCCATAAAAAGGTGTTTGCATTGTTCAACTTTGCATTCAACTTCTGGTTGAACGGCGTTTCAACTAAAAGCTTTCAACAAAGTTGGTTGCCAGCCAACATTTAGCCATTCAACTTTTTTTTCGTGCATCCCTGCGTTGAGTTGAACGTAAATGTTGAACGCAAAGTTGAACAATGCAAACACTGCTTAAGATATCTAAATTTTTACTCCAGTTATCGTGTGGACAAACGGACGAACAGACAGTCACCGCTTAATCGATTTCTCTTTTCATTCTGATCATTTATGTATACATTTGTCCATATCTATCTCGATTCGTTTTGCCTGTTACAAATAACCGTTATGTGAACAAAGTTATAATACCCTTGTGCAAAACGTTTTCTTATAAAAAAAAAACTGTCCAAAATGGAATCGGTTAAAAACTGGTTACAAAGTAATGCACTGGGCGACAATTGCCACCGCCAATGACATCGCCTGTAAAACTGGACAGTTGAAAGCATAGCTTGGGTATTGAGCTAGAACTGGTACTGTCGGCAAAAGGTTTAGTTCTACGCTAGTTCTAGGCTAGTCAGATTTTCTGCAGGGTGTGTACATACATATGCACGTGCACTNGTTACAAAGTAATGCACTGGGCGACAATTGCCACCGCCAATGACATCGCCTGTAAAACTGGACAGTTGAAAGCATAGCTTGGGTATTGAGCTAGAACTGGTACTGTCGGCAAAAGGTTTAGTTCTACGCTAGTTCTAGGCTAGTCAGATTTTCTGCAGGGTGTGTACATACATATGCACGTGCACTATATGTACATATTACATATAGTAAGAATAATTTCGACTTCTATGCATGCATTTATTCTATAGTTTTAAAATATTATATGTATACGTATATTATATAATATTTCATTAGAATAAAATAGTTTTATAAAAAGATCCATTTTACATGACTTTAGAGGATCGTGGAAAAACTCAAAATATTGCTTAAAGAAAATCTTACCAACTTAGCTGAAATAGAAGAATGCATACATGTTTAGCTGAAATAGAAAAATTTTATGCAATTCAATTTGCAATCAGCAAATCGATTTCACGCAAATATATTTTCGGCAAGCAAGCAAATGTACAAAAGCCCGCTCCTTTCCCCGTTTACCGCTTCTTTCTCTACACTTGTCGTTCTGACTTCCATTTTTATTTTAGATTTCGTTTTGATCCGACACAAGCACGCGCCTGTCTTCGCAAGCACCGCCTCTGCCTATCGCTTATTAGATTTCTGTTTCTCTTTTCCTATTCGTTCTTATTTTTTCATTTTGCTTTAAACTATGCTACACGCTAGTGCTTATTATATTTCTGTTCCTCTTTCCTTTTCGTTCTTATTTTTTCATTTTGCTTTGAACTATGGTAAATTTGGTTGTAGTGTGGTGGCACGGAACAATTTTTGGTATGGTGGCAGTCGCCGACACTTCTCTGCCGACACCGTCCGTCGAGTCAGTGTTGCCACTGCGTTAGCATTTAAAGTATCCATAAAAAATCGAAAACTGTATCCAAATGTATCCACCGAAAAGAGCGGACATTTTTACGCAGTGCATCTATGGAAAACAAACTCGGCCTCTTAACAAGCTTATAAACATGTAGTCATTATTTTCCCATCCTTAGACACGGATTTGGGAAGCAAAGGCGCGTAGTTATAGTCATAATTAAGTCGACCCTAAAGTTAATAGCAGCTTTTTGACAAAATTTTCAATAGGATATCTGTCAAAAAAGCTGAAATTAACTTTAGTGATGACTTAATTTTGACTATAACTACGGGCCTTTGTTTCCCAGATCTGTTTCTAAGAATCGAAAAATACTGACTACAACTACGGGCCAAAGTTTCCGCATGTTCGATTTTTATTACTACGAATAGATTCTCGAGAATACAGTTACATAACTACTACAGGTCGGAAAACTTTTTAAAATTTGAAAACTATATGGTGTTATTAAATGCACGTTTATGTAGCTAAAAATTTTATTTTTCAAAGTGACAAGAGTAAGGAATTTTTTTTTCTTGGTAGATGAGAGCAAACTGAAAACTGTTATAATAGCTCGTACATAACTAAAAAAAAAATTTCTTCAGCTCACCAATACTTATGGGAAAAGGTATCCAAATTTACACTGAGGAAAAAAACGAAATATCCCCCATTTAATTTAAGGCGAAAATGTATCCAATGGGATACATATGTATCAAAACGGCAACACTGCGTCGAGTGGTGCATTTCGTCGACGAGTGGTATATTTGTTCGACCGCACCTTAAAATTTCTGACGGCAATAAGTTCACAATTATGTGCATATGTATGTATGCTGCTGTGAGTTGCACATATGTACATACATACGCATGTACACAATATGTACATATTACATATAGTAAAAATAATTTCGACTTCTATGCATGCATTTATTCTATAGTTTTATAATATTATATGTATACGTATATTATATAATATTTTATTAGAATAAAATAGTTTTGTAAAAAGGTCCATTTTACATGACTTTAGACGATTGTGGAAAAACTCAAAATATTGCTTAAAGAAAATCTTATCAACTTAGCTGAAATAGAAGAATGCATACATGTTTAGTTGAAATAGAAAAATGCATACATGTATGCAAAAATCAATTTCNTCCAATCAGCAAATCGATTTCACGCAAATATCATATTTTCGGCAAGCAAGCAAATGTACAAAAGCCCCTTCCTTTCCCCGTTTACCGCTTCTTTCTCTACACTTGTCGTTCTGACTTCCATTTTTATTTTAGATTTCGTTTTGATCCGACACAAGCACGCGCCTGTCTTCGCAAGCACCGCCTCTGCCTATCGCTTATTAGATTTCTGTTTCTCTTTTCCTATTCGTTCTTATTTTTTCATTTTGCTTTAAACTATGGTAAATTTCGTCGCATTGTGGTGGAACGGAACAACCTTTGATGTGGCGGCAGCCGACATTCCGTCGACGAATGGTGCATTTCGTCGGCGAGGGTGTAGTTGCTCGACCGCAACTCAAAATTTTTGGCGAGAATTAGTTCACACTTAAAATGCGCCTTCTCATTCATATGGGTACGTGCTCTGGTATAAATGCGCGGAAATGAAAGATTATAAAGAAAAAAGGCTAACGTCTTTCATACGGAAAATTTTGCCGAGACGTTCGGACGTGGTTCTTACTCGAATTTTTATTCCTGACCTAATCGCGCGCTCTAAACCTACGAAATGTCCAGCATTCGCCGCTGCGTCGTCCGGGGCTGCCCCATCACCAGCTTGCAGGCCAAATTGTTTGGATGGCCAAAGGACCAGGGGATGGCCCAAAAGTGGAGGCAAAACCTGGGGATTTCGCCAGACGCCCACATTGCCCCAACCAACACCTTTATTTGTGGCGACCACTTTCCTGACTACGCCATTGGAGGCCAGCGACTGAAGAGTGGGGCGGTCCCAACCCTCAACCTTGGTAAGTTGTTTTGATTCAGTTTAGTTCAATGAGTTGATAAGTGAGTGCAGTGGACATACATATGTGTGTAGAAATATGTATGTATGTATGTATGTATGTATGTATGTGTATATGCATGTACATACCATCCAGAGGAAAACTTAAAATAGTGAATCAAATTTCTTTAAAAATACAATGAGTGCATTCCAAAATAGTAAATATGCATACATATGGGCTATTCCATGGTGACTGGTGAAAGTGATTACATACATACATATGTATGAAGTCAAAGTTTCTACAGACAGCTACTTTTTATTTTTAATATCTTTAGACAGATAAATGAAATATAGTCATTTAGCTATAGGTAACTAATGAAATAGTGATAAAAATGGAACTTTAAAATTTGTCGTTTATTATTTTACGTGGAATGACCCATATGTATGTATTATGCCTGTTTGTGTGTGTGTACATATGTATGTCATTTGCTCCTTTGTGTGTTTTTCAAAACTTTAAACGTGTGTAAATGTGTGACTGGTGGGGCAGGTCCTTGTGACTAGTGAAAGTGATTATGTATAATTCTTATGCCTGTTTTTGTATGTGTATAATAGGGATAATTAATGATGAATTTAATAATTTATTGAGGAAGTGGAGTTTATAGTTAAATTCTAGTTGGTACTTAAGTTAGTTGTAGCTTTTTGCCATAATTTTTACGCGGTTTGTACCTTAAACGACGATATGTATGTATAGGAATGTATAATGAATGTATGTATGTATGAATGTACCTTAGGGTGGTCCAAAAATGTATGGGAGAAAAGTAAAATCGGAAATTTAATGCTCTCACCCCCTAGGATTGTTCTATACCGAAAAAAGTATACCCCTGTTTTTTTATTTTAAAATCAAAATATATTTAGAGGTCGCTCAAAGCGCTCAAAGTTTCCCATGTATTTTGTATGGGGAACAAATACTTTTCGTAGAAATGGCATAGAATCCATGAAAATCAAAATTTTTCAATCTGAAAACTCTGCTTCTCTTCAGAGGACTTCAGAGAATAATGCCCAATTGTTTATTTAAACGTTTTTTACCGCCCAATTCTGTGTTTTCTTGATACATTTTTTGTAAAGAAATTGTATCAAGATTTTTATCAAGTAAAAGCTCCCTTCGCATTCTGTATCAATATTTATAAAACAAAAAGCTCTACGATTTCCACATGAGTGGAACTGATTTCCACATGAGTGGATGTGATTTCATTGTCACATATGAAAAATATGAATTTAAAAGCAAAAAAGCTTTTGACTGCCGTAGCCGAGTAGGTAGAGATGTCGACCATAATTCCGTGTATCGCAGGTTCGAATGCCGGCAAATGATTTATTTAGCTGTTAGAAACAAATTTATTGATATACAAAATTTATACATTTCACATGAAAATTCAATTTCAAGAAAAGAGCTTTTGATTTCTGTGCTAGAATTTCAATTCTTGATAAATAATAAAAAATTGACAAATTATAAAGATTTTCAATTTATCAAGTGCACAGAATCGGGCTGTTAATTTAAACTATTTTTTCTTTTTTTCTTTTGTATATTTCTGTTTGTATATTTGATTTTTTTTGGGATATTTCGGAGACCCTTAAAAAATAGTTAAAATTAAAAAATGTTTAAATAAACAATTGGGCATTATTCTCTGAAGTCTTCTGAAGAGAAGCAGAGTTTTCAGATTGAAAAATTTCGATTTCCATGGATTCTATGCCATTTCTACGAAAAGTCTTTTTTTCCCCCATACAAAATACATGGGAAACTTTGAGCGCTTTGAGCGACGTCTAAATATATTTTGATTTTAAAATAAAAAAACAGGAGTATATTTTTTTCGGTATAGAACAATCCTAGGGGGTGAGAGCATTAAATTTTCGACTTTACTTTTTTTTGGACCACCCTAATGTACCTATAATGAAAATATATCTTATGAATTTTATTGAGAGCTGGATTTTAAGCTTTTGCTGTCAATTTTCTTGAAGAAATAAATACTCTAACAGTTTTTTCCTTGAGGGATGCGAACTGATTTTAGAAATTTTGATTTTCGAATTCTTTATTTATAAGCTAATATGGTACATTCGGTGATGTGTGTGTTTCATAATATGTATCATATAAAATATTTAGGACCAGAAGAAGATGTCGTTTTGCAGCATGCTACTGAGGAGGCAAAGGGGTACCGCATTTGCTGCGTTCAGGGCCGCTCTTCCCATGACGACCAGACCCTATTTGTCTTCCCGAAGGCGGAAGTTGCCTTCAATAATTGGGCCTTAGTTTGTAGTTTGAAAGTGCGATTTCCGCCAAATAAAAAAATTTCACGTCACTTTCATAAGAGATATTTATCAAAAACCCGACTTCTAAAGGGGGCTTTTCCTCTGTTCAATTTGCCACCTCAAATTCCGAGTGAGCCAAATAGCTGCTCCTCTGAATTAATACTTCAGCCTGTTAAGCATGTAAGTCGGAAGGCGACTTGTCACTTGAGGAATTTCAACATTTCTCTGATTTAGAGGTCAAAAGACAGCGCTTTGATGTTCGCGGCACTGAGGAGAGCCTTAGCAATGAACCTGGTTTCTGCGACCATGAGCCTTTCGCTCGGGATGCGCGTATTTATCAGGATAACGCGAGAAAGCAATCCATACGAATTGAAGAGTTGCAAAACGAAATCGTCGCGTTGAAGCAGCAAATTTCTCGTTTGCAAACATATGCAATAATAGCTTCGCCCGATTGTAGCGATGACGCTTGAAATTTTGCTAGAATGATAGTACGGTCGGTTAGCTCCTACACGGACACGTAAACAACTTTAGCTCAAAATATTAATTACATGTCGACTAAAGCCTAAAATTGTATGCGGGATGACTTTAAGTTTTCACTTCCTCCCAAAAAAATCCCTTTTTCGATGGCGCCCTATTAAATATGTATCGCCGGGCATAGATTCTAAAGTAATTGAAAGCTTAAAACATATCGTTTCTGAAATACGGTTGCAAGACGAACTGATTTTATCAGTACAGTACTGATTTTTTAACTCTTGTACTGATTTTATTCATTTCTTCAATCAGTACGCTAATATCCTGATTTTTCAAAATTTTTACTGATTTGTACTGAATTTCCAATTCAAACAAACAACTAGGATTTTCTTAAGGTTTTTACATAACGTTGGAACTTCCTTAAACTGTACTGTAAAAAGTAAGAAGATAATTAAAAAATTAATACAAAAAGAAATATCAATCGTTTTATGGGCATATCGCCGGGCGTTACGTATCAGTTGCGATAATAGGTTTGTTCCACTAGCTACTCGAGGCAGCTTCCAGTTACACATACGCGTTCCACAAGTAAGTTTTAGAGTTTCTTTGATATACGCTCACAGTTTGAACTTTGCACGAGTTTTTCTACAAGTAGCTTCTGGAACAACCCTAATATTGAGGGCTTATATTCAATATCCTCTGTCTGCAATTTTCACAAAAACAACTTTGTGATGTTAGAACCTATCTGGGTCTTATTTGTCATCACCGGTGTTAATTCTGACTTTGCAATTTAAAAGTAAATTGTTCTGTCAAGCGTGATACAAGGTCAGCATTAACATCACCGAGGACAGTTAAGTCTTAGGTGGATTTTTATATTAGAATCTCATTTTTGTGAAAAATGCCGATAGAGGGTATTGAATATATGTAAGCCCTCGATATGTTGCTGGTTTAATTATTTAAAAAGAAGGCTGACGTTTTTTTCGAGTGTTGCTAGTTATCTCGAAAATAACTCAGTTTAATAACAACAAATTTGAATATTCGAATGGGTTTTGCCTATAACTTACAATTTTTTTTTAACAATTTATTCATATTGCAAAAGAGTTTTGCATACAAGATATAGAGTTAGATACTCTTTTTAGGGAATTCTTAGTCCTTCAAAGTTTTTGTGTTGTTGAAAAAATTAATTTAAGACATGAGGAATTATAGATGAAGCCCTTTTCCACAGTTTGAAAAAATATGTATTTTTTTTCAATACCACACTCAAACGAAGCAACTGAGAGGATCTTAAGTATAAAGTTTTCTACCTGGCGCAAAGAAAGAAACCGGCTTCTAATTAAAATTTTTAAATTGAACTTAATATTAAAAGTAATTTTAAAATGAAAAATGTAGAATTCTTCGACTATTCAAACGCTGCATATGGAAATGATCTCATTATTGCTATTCAAAAATGTCGTAAATATAAAATACTGTGTATAATGATGTGTACACCCATGTTAAAATGAATAAAACTTTTCTTATGAACTATATTTTATTTATATACCAAAATATTGTTAAAAACAACTACTCTGGCGTTTTAAGGTATTTCTGATACATACATTCATAATTTTGCTTTGAAAAAAAAATGTACTGAAAAGTACTGATTTTTTTAGCATGAAAAATCTGGCAACCCTATTTCTGAAATTTCTCCCTCCGAGCGGTTTTGCGAAATATTATTCGGCGAAATTTCTATTAAAAAAGATCTCGTTTACAATAAAAGTAGAGACATTATTGACGGTTTCGTGGATATTGGTGACGGTAATCGCGACCTCAATGTTGCCGACAAATGTGGTTTTTTCATGGTGAAAGCCATCGCGGCGGATTGGAAATATGTCCTTTCCTATTATATGGTAAAAGGCGGTATGTCGGCTTCAAGTCTTTTGAATTCCTTAACGGATAATATTAAAACGGTTGAAGGCCTCAGCTTAAGCGTCAAAGCCATTAATGCGATCAAGGCCCAACCAACGTTCGTCTCTTTAAACTTTTAAATGTCTCCGCGGAAAGTCCGTCCTTTATTTTCAATGGAAAAAAATCCACTGTCTTTGCGACTACTTCCACTTGATTAAATCGGCTCGGAATAACTTATTAAAGCACGATTTAAAAACTATGGATGACATCGCGAGCGGTAAAGTCATTCGTTAATTATATTCGGTAGATAAAGCCAATGTAAACTTCATGGTATATCCTGAGCTTACAGCCAGTGTTGCCAACTTTTGATTT